TGCTCCTCTGGCCTCTGGATGGCTGCAGATATGAGAATGTCATAATCAAGTCAACTATTTCATCCAAAACTCAACAGCTAGATGTGTTCATAAACCACAAAAATTAAAGACTTTCTCCCTGATTAAAAAGGAGAGAGAGAGACAAAGTTTGTACCTTCCAGAGGAGTCAGAACTGGAATTGGTTTACTGGCTCTGTGATCCTTGCTAAATGATTACTTCTCATGCCTTAGTTTCTGTCATCTGTAAAATGGGTGTCCAGAGTCTCTTCCTCAAGGGTTGGGAAAGCACAGACAAGTGGGTAGTTTCTGGAGGGCTTCCAGAGGGCCCTGGCATGCGGCCAGTGCCCAGAAGGTGCTGACCACATTACAGCCGCCCTGAGAGCAAGGACGTGACACAGGGCAAGTGCCGAGCAGGGGCAGTTCCCGAGAGGATGGGCTGGCCCCTGTGGCTGCCTGGCTGTGTGTGACCCTGGGCGTGCCATGAGACTGGGGGGCGTTTGCTGCCCTCCCTGTGGGACGAGATGTAGAATCTAGGAGCCTGTCTGCCCAGCCCCACGTGAGGTTTCCCTGGGATCCCCCACACCCTCGCCCCCACTGCCATTGCTGATTGGGGAGCTGCCGATTCTCCCTTCCTGCTTCCCACAGCCTCAGCTGATGGGCCCGGAAGTGGGGTGCCTTCCCCTGGTGTCATCGGGGAGGTGTCCCATACGCAGGGAGCTCCGGCAGAATGGAGCTCTAGGGCGGCCGGGGGCCAGTATCTCATCCCGAGGAGACAGTGGCTCTGCCCAGAGCACTCAGACATCCGTGGGGGGGACTCCATCTCTGGCTGCCTGTCCCTGAAGCCCAGGTGCGATCCTGTCCTCCCAAGCTGCGACTGCTCACTTCTGCCTTAGAGACAGTAACAACAATAACAATAGTAGCAGCGACCGCTTATAGAACCCGTGCTATGAGCCAGGCACCGTTCTGACACCCGCACACATTTCAGCACCTTTACTCCTCATCATAGCCTGGAATATCATCACCCCCTTTCGCAGATGGGGATACTGAGGCAGTGACTAACTTGCGCAAGATCACACGCTAGCGAGTGGTGGGACTGGGACTTGAGCCCCATTGGCTCAGCACCAAAGAGGCCACCCCCTCCTCCCGTCCCTCTGGGCGGCCCTCTTTGTCCCAGCTGCTCAGAGCCAGGGTCCTGTCACTGCCAGCAGCACCTTGGACCTCTAGTCCCTGAGGTTCCTTCAACTCTGCTCCAGTGCTGGGCCTCCTCCCTCCCTCTCTTAGCCCCAAGGACTGGGGACAGGCCTTTCCAGGTTTCCCAGTAGTTTTCACAATTCTTATCTCTTTCATCCCATGAAAAGTATGGCAGGCATCATCCTGCTCCATCATGGTAAAAACTGAGGTTCCGAGAGGCTAAGCTCTGTGTCCAGGGACACACAGCTCCGACCAGCAGGGCCACCACTGGAACCCAGCTCCTAGGCCGGAGCTCTCTTGTGCCCTGCATGTCAGGACCTCTGTTCACACTTTAGCTCAGGTGAGCAGCCCTGTCACCTGTCCAAATCAATCAGGCCCACAGAAGGGCGATGCCAGCTCCCAAAGGGGACCGTGCTCTGGGTTCAAAGCCAAGAAATATAGCTGGGCTCCAGGTATGTCCCCTACAGACTGCAATCACCCACACATCTGTGTGTCTCCCTCCAGACTGAGGACCCAGGGCAGGGATGCAAGGGAAAGCTGGGAAGGGCAGGGGGCTCGCAAGCCCATTCCTGGGGCTGTGTGATGGAAGGGCAGAACCTTGGAGTCAGGAGGTAGGGGCTCTTTCTGGGCTGCTCCCCTCCATATCTCAGACTGAAACCAAGACAGGCAGCACATATAATAATCCAAGCATAACTGTATGTGTAATTAAAAGAAAAAAAGTACCACCAACTAAGCTGCTATGACGCTTTCACGTCTCTGTTGCAAACTTGGCAGAAGCTTCTTTCAGATTTATGTGGACATAGATTTTGATCATGTCTCAGTCTTACGCATACATAAAAGAAGACATACATGAAATAAATGGGACGAGATTTTTCCTAGAAGGTCATCTTGCTAGGCTCCAACCCTTTTCAACCACTTTTCCACTCAGCGTTGCAAGTATCTGAGTTTTCCTGCCAACATGGCTTCTCAACCCCCGAGGTTCTGATGACGCAGAAATTCCCAGAAGACAGTTCCTCGGTTTTTCCTGAAAGTTTCCACTGAGCTGCTGACACCCAGCCCGCATGTTTCACTGTGCTTACGTGCAGGCTATGACGCCTGGTGGTCACGACTAGGACACTTCCCAGCTTCAGGGGACGTGGAAAGGTGGCGGGGGGTGGGGAGGTGCATCTTGGATTTGCCAAGAAAAGGTGGTTCACGCTTGGTAAATATTTCTTGATAGAAGGAATGTATGAATGAGTGAATGAATACCTGATGAGTGAATGGGAAGTTAATTACCCAGAACCTAAGGGCAATGTACCAGTGAAACTTACTGATGGATGAAGTGAGACAAACTGGAGTCTCAGTATTTGGGCTTCACCAGAGGGGCTCAACTGGAGGCCGTTGTGCCTACATGGGAGTCTAGGGCCAAGGTAATAATACCAAAGAATGATCACCATAGCTGCTGACCACTCTCTGTACACCCTCTCTCATAATCCTCCCCGGCGACTCTGAAAGGCAGCCATCTCATCGCACCCATTTCACAGAGGGAGAAACTGAGGCTCCAAGAGAGGGGAAGTGCCTTGCCCAGGATCAGGACAGGTTGACCAGCCTCCACTCTCCCCACCCCATCTCGTGGGCAGCCCTCTAGAGGAGATGAGCTCAGCCCTGTCCCCAGGCCCCTCTGCGGGTCTGCACACTGGCAGTGTCCCCTTTTGGGCCTCCACGGCTGGAGGGAATGTGCATGGATGGAACTGTTGGGTCTCTGGAGCCTGAGCTGTGAGCAGGACAGCCCAGTTTGGAATCCTGACTCTGGCACCACAGGCTGTGTGATTTTAGGTGGATCCTTTCAGATTTCTGACACTCAAGTCTCTGCTGGTTGTAACTGCTGGTGCCCACCACTTATGGCCAGGGAAGAAGGGGACAGTCCCTTAGGCTGCTGGTCCTCAGCCCTGATGGTCTGGCTGCTCATCCCCACCCCCTCCCCAAGGGAGCTTCAGGCAACCACAGGCTCAGGGCCTGTCCAGACCAGCGAGATGGACCCTCCAGCACAGACAGGTAAGGTGCTGGGGATTTCGTGGGTGACCTACACTGTGACCCCTGAAACCACATGTTATAAACCCCACAACTTGGCTCATGCCTGCAATGGATGGACATAAACCGCAGTCTCCAAGAAGCAGAGCAGATCTGTCTCTGGCTGGGTTTGCCATTCTTGGATGAAGGCGTCTTCCTTTTCCATCAACGGGAAGGTCCAAACTGTCCCCAGCCAATGTGACAAAGGCACACTTCACACAACTTTGACATGAATCGCTTGACTGCTTTTCCCTCATGTTCCACACACAGAAACAAAGAAAGCATCAAAATAATTCTTGAGCAATACAAACGCACTAATGCTCAGAAATGACAAAAAACAACAACAAAGAAGGCCCATCAGTCATCAATCTCCACTTTAAACTGGACTTTGGATGTTTTCCAAGAGCATATGGCTTTTAGTGGGAGAAAGAGTGTGGACCTAGGTGAGGGAAGGTTAGTGGAGGAGGGACAGGGGTGAGGAGAGATGCTTGTTTTTAAAATGTGGGGGGCTTCCCTGGTGGTCCAATGGCTAAGACTCCACGCTCCCAAGGCAGGGGGCCCGGGTTCCATCTCTGGTCAGGGAACTGGATCCCACAAGCTGCAACTAAGAGTTCACAAGCCACAACTAAAGATTCCACATGCCATGATGAAGATGCAAGATCCTGCAGGCTGCAACAGAAACCCGGTGTGGCCAAGTGAATAAATATATAGTAAAAATAAAGTAATAGTGCTGCAGGGAACCTTGGAGTGCATGCGTCTTTTAGAACTGTGGTTTTCTCAGGGTTATGTGCGTGGTAGTGGGATTGCTGGGTCATATGGTAGTTTTATTCCTAGTTTTTTTTTAGTTGACATATAGCAGAGACCACCACAACACTGTAAAGCAATTATCCTCCAACTGAAAATGTTAATAAATAAAATAAAATATGGATACTCAGGAGTCTCCACACAAGCCCCTCTTGGAATTCAAAAGGTCAAGTCCTGCCAAATGACTGACCACTGACCCACCAGTCACCATGGGGCTGTCTTACAGAGGCGGGGGTGAGTATTACTGGGTGCATTGAATCACTTCCCCCCAAAGCCTCTGGATATGTATCCATTTCTGTGCAGTCACGGCTGAGATCTGGATTCTGTAACAGATGCCCCCCAGGGCTCTGCCTGCATTCTCTGGGGGTCCCTTTCCAGGCTGCCCCTGGAATTGACGACCCATCCTCCAAGGAGCGGCCCTTACCCCACCACTGAGCGGGGCTCAGTTCCCTTGTCCTCCAATGGGGCCAACTCCACAGAGGGACTCAAACCCAGTGAATTATTTGCAAAACAAACATGCGGCCCCTTGCCCACCTTTGTTAAACCAAGTGTAAGGCCATTCTGAGCATGCGATGGGTGCGGCCCCTGGAGCTGGCCCTGAGGGGAAGCAGGCTGCCTCCAGGACCACCATGGGGGGTGGCGGATCTCACCAAAGTTACCCTCTGCAGGACCACCTTACATCACCTGGTACGACCGTGCTAGCTCTCCCCAGGAACCTTCCTGCTAAAATCACTTCCTAATTAATAAGTCCAATCCTCCTCCCAGGGTCTGCTTCAGAGGGAATCCACGCCGACAGGGTATGCATGTGGCCCCGATAGTCCAGGGGTCCAGAAGCAGAGCTGAGCAGACAGCTCATTCCCATCACACCCACCACCTCCAACCCTCAGATTCCACAGCTCCAGCACATCCAATTTAAGGTCATCAGGTGCTCAAAACTATGAATCACGCGTGAGCAGGTGAGTTCATTTCCATTTTATGATGAGCAGACTTATCTCGAGAACATTTGGGATGGGTACATGTCTCCCAGAGTCAAACCTGAAGAAACCTGTGCCAACCAAAACACTGACCTTCACACAGCTCCCCAAGGCAGTGACTTCTTCCCATGGCAGATCTGGGGGTGGCAAGGTCAGGGGACAACTAGGAGGGCCTCATTTCCAGGACAATAAAGCAGGAACCTGAAGCTAGTGAGTGGCTCCCATGAAGTCACCCCACCAGGTCGGGCCACGCCAGGAGCCAGGGGCCCTGTCTCCAAACACTGCTGGGGTCATGCTGTCTCAGGCTGGGCATGACCTCGGGGGTCAAATCATTTTTTACCCAATGATTTCTGAGGCTCAGCAGAAAGTGGAGGAATGTTCTTGCAGACAGGCTGAAAGGGAAAGAAAGAAGGAATGAACATGAACCCAAGAACAGGTGACAAGTATGTGTCATCCACTTCTGCCTCACCCACCAGAAGCACCAGAAAGATGCCAGCTTCTGCCAAGACTCAATTCTTGACTCACCGCTAAACCTCTCTGGGTTCCACCTTCCTATCTGACTCCATGTGGATCTTTCTTACAACCTTGGTTGTGCTAGAATTTTGTTGCCAGCTTCCAGTGTGTTTTCAGTGAGTCGATCCACGTGCAGATGTATTTTTGATGCATTCGTGGGGGCAAGTGGGCTCCCAGTCCTCCTACTCTGCCATCTTGATCTCCTCTCCCATCTCATTTAAGTTCCTAATGCATCCCTCCTCATCACTCCCATTTTACAGATATGAAAACTGAGGCTTGGAGAGGGGAAGACATTAGCCTAAGATCACCTGGTGGTGGAGCAGGAGTTTAAACCCAGTTCTGGCCGCCTGGTTCCTAAGAGGCATCCTACCTCGTCTCACTACCCTGCTCTTTCCCACTGGTCCCAGCACTTCCCCATGTGAGGTTCACAGACTCAGGTGGGTCAGAGCCACTCCAAGGACTGTTCCTGTCATCAGCAGGTAATAGATGTGTTGGCATCAACCCCCAAGGGCTCTAGCTTTTCCTGTAGGACTCGCACCTGAAGATTCTGGAACCTGAAACCTGATGTCTGCCCTTCAAGGACATTCAGGGTACGTCACCTGCTTTCAGGGGCTCTGTTTACCACGCACAGGCTTGAGCTGTCAGAGCGCTGGGTGGGTGTTCAGGTTTTACTGGGTCTTTGCATCCGCCTGTATCTCACTTTGGAGAACGCCTGAGAGCGTAGCCGTGCCTTCTTACGCGGTCACCTCTGGTGCCGGCCGCAGCCACCTTCACTCTGTTCCCACCCCAGCGGCCTCCATGGGGCTCCTCAGTAAGATCTTTCCTGCCCGGGGACTTCTTTCCTTCTGGCTCCTTCTGCCTGGGTGCCCGTGTCAGATGCTGGCTCCGATGTCACCTGCTCACCTCCCTGACCTCCACCTGAAGCAGTCCCCTCCTACCCAGCCGCATGTCACCTGTCTGTCCAACGCCCTTCAGGACACCATTGCAGGCCGTGCCCGTCCTGCTGGTTGGCGGGATTGGGCTCCTGTGCAGATGTCAGCCCTAACGGGAGCCCTGATTTACCCACGGCGTCCCCCCGGCACGCGTCTGCACCCTGGAGACTTCCACCAGTGACGGTGGCGCCACGTGCCTGAGAGCTGGCCGTGGACAGTCCCGCGCGGCAGAGGGAGGGGGCGGCCGACCAAGGTCACGCGGCAGCGGAGGGCGTGTCTGCTGTTCGCCGAAAGCAAAGTCAGTCACAGGCGAGGCTGGTCCTCGGGTTCAGAGTCACGGGCTCTGGGAACGTCTACTGCTGATTACACCCAAGGCGCTCATGTGTTCACTTTGAAGTTACAGGGGCGTTGTCACAGTCTTCCCACAGGTCAGCCCTCTTCCTGCCCTCCTATCGGTCAACTTCGTGACGAAAGCGACGTCGGACGCCCGGCTGCCCAAAGCCCCCCGCTGTCACTGACCGATCACGCCTCCCGCTTACCCGCCGCTGCTGCTTTATTGAAAGTGCCTCTGCTGTCCCTGTCCGTGTTCTGCCACATACTTGGAGGCGCCCTCTGCGGGAAGAATCGGGCGGTCAGGCCAGGTGTGTGGATTCCTCCTCAGGTGCTCACAGCTCAGCAGCCAGACTAACTCTAAATGCCTCAGCCTGGCTCTGACCCCTCTCCTCCCCCAAATGAGGTCCCCCGGTCCCCACCTGCAGCCATTCTCCCTCCTCCCCAGGCCCCCCTGACCTGTGTAGCCTGCCTGCCCCTGCCCCGACCCTGTGCTCATGACATGCTCAGCTGCTGTGATGGCCGAGTTGCTTCAGCCTCACGATTGTCACATCCACTGATGCTCTGCCCGCTGTTTCTTATTCTTCACACTAGGCTTCAGTGTCCCCTCCTCAGGAAGCCTTCCCTGACATCCCCGTCTATTTTCATGGTGTCCTGAATGTGACCTTAGTGGTCCTGATCACCGTCGTCACCAAATAACCACTTGGACTTTATTCATTTTGTGATTTCCTGCTTGATACTAGCTGCCAGATGCCATGGACTGGATCTGCCATAATCACAAATGTAGCCTCAACCTCCAGCACAGAATAAAGAGTTTGTTCAGTTACTCGGTTGTGTCTGACTCTTTGCGACCCCATGGACTGCAGCCCGCCAGGCTTCCCTGTCCATCACCAACTCCCGGAGCTTGCTCAGACTCATGTCCATTGAGTTGGTGATGCCATCCAACCATTTTATCCTCTGTTGTACCCTTCCCTTTGCAAATATGTACTGTCAATTCTTTAAAAAATATAGTAGATGAATGGAAGAACACATGGATGGATGATTGAATGAATTATTGGGTGGATGGGCAGAACACTGGATGGACAGAAGGATGGATGGATGGATGAGTGGAAGACAGGATGGATGGATAGGTGGATGGATGGAAGACTAGATGGATGGATTGATGAGTGGAAGACAGGATGGATGGATAGGTAGATAAATGGAAGACTGGATGGATAGAAGACTGGATGGATAGAAGACTGGATGGATAGAAGATGGGATGGATGGATGGAAAGATGGAAGGAAGATTGGATGGTTGGATGGAAGACTGGATGGTTGGATGGATGAAAGACTGGATGGATAGATGGATGGAAGACTGGATGGATAGAAGACAGCATGGATGGATGGAAAGATGGAAGGAGGACTGAATGGTTGGATAGAAGACTGGATGGTTGGATGGGTGGAAGCCTGGATGGGTGGATGATTGCATGAATGGATGGATCCGTGGATAACTGGATAGATGACTGGCTGGAAAGATGGTGTCAACCATATTTTTCAATTCCCTGAATGAAAGTAGGAGAAGCTTTTGTACATCAAGTCCTACATTCTGATGTTTAGCATGAAGCTGTGTTTGCTGTAAGTCCTCTTGCCCACCATCAGACAACAGGGTGTCTCCTTTATTCCCCAATCCTAGTTCCCACTTTGTCCCCATAAGCCATCCCTAAGCTGCTGCCCCAGTCACAGCCTGCAGCCTGGAGTGGCTCCCACCCTATGGGGAGGACTGCTCAGGTTGGAGGAGAGATTTTGCACAACAGAACCATCTTAGCCTCCTAGCATCTGACCCTAGCATTATGCCACCTGATGGCATAAGAACCACCAGGTGGAATACAGTCATTTTCCTTCATAGCAGCTGCAGACTGGAGCTCTCAGGACAGCCCATGGGGCTTCTTTCTCTTCTTCACTCCAGAAACGCCCACCACCATTTTCAGTACCCTCTGTAAGGAAAGAATGGGCCTTCTCCTACCTGGATATTCTTTGTAAAATTTCTGTCGTAAGAATCGACCATCTGGAAAAGAAATGAGAGGATTAAGTTCCTTTCAGGGAGTTTATGAGGTCAAAACTATTTTCATAATAGTGCTAAGAAATGATTTGTGTTTTTCACTCTCATTCTCTCACAAGTGTATGGTGGAATTTTTCAGAAGCTATGTTACGTGTGACACTGAAGCCCATCCAATGCAGATGCAGACATGAAGATCCAGTCCTCTGAATACACATATTACAACTGCAAATATGTAAAACCATGCCACTCTGCCCACTTTGTGTGTATGTTGGAAAACAGAGCCATTTTTAAGAAAAATGCTATTTCTGTTCACCCCATAGTGAGTTCATCATTGTCACTTTAAAAAAATTATTTTAATTGGAGGACAACTGCAATATTGTGGTGGTTTTTGCCATGTAGGACATGTGTTGTGTGTGTTGTGTCTGTGAAGTCACTCAGTCGTGTCAGACCCTTTGTGACCCCCTGGATGATACAGTCCATGGAATTCTCCAGGCCAGAATACTGGAATGGGTAGTTGTTCCCTTCTCCAGGGGAATCTTCCCAACCCACAAATTGAACCGGGGTCTCCTGCATTGCAGGCGGATTCTTTACCAGCTGAGCTACCAGGGAAGCCCTATATCAACATGAATCAGCTAAATATTTGGAATGTCTCAGCTTTATTTTTGAATATGGTAAATGTCCATAGCCAGAACCCACACAAGGCTCTGTTGGGTTCTCAGTATTTTTTAAAATTAAGTTGTTGGTTTTGATTTGGCTCTGCCACACGGCATGTAGGCTCTTAGTTCCTTGACCAGGGATCAAACCCACACTCCCTGAAGTGGCAGTGCGGAGTCTTACCACTGGACCACCAGGGATGTCCCTCAGTATTTTTTCTAATATAAAGTTTAAGAACCTTAAGAATCTTAAGAGATAAACTGGAAGCAAATTCCAAAATATTGTTCAGCAAATGTCATTACACAATACATTCACAAGGAAAGCAAATAGCAGTCTTTGAGTCTGTTCAAAAGAGACTTAAAAGTCATTACTGTAAACAAAACAACTCAGTTATGAAACTTCACTGCTCACTAACCTACTCAGAGTCTCAGTTTTCTTACCAGAAATGGGCATAAAATCAATACCTCTTAAGTTATCATGAGGATTAACAGAAATGCTTTCATTGGAAACATAGACTTGCAGCAAGGATTATCAGGAACCACTCAAATCAGTCACTTTTGTGTGTAAAAAGTGGTCAACTCTTGATAATTTCATTTGTCTCAAATTACTGAGAATCCCCACCACCCAATACCCACTGCTGACTGTCAACCACTCCACCCCCTTCCACAGTCCCTGCCCTATCACGGCAGTGAAACACTTTCTGGTGGGAGTTGGGGAAATGTAACATGGTAGAGTGGAGAAATCTTGCCAGCTCACACTTAATTCCCACTGGTCAGCTCACCCCTCCCCATCCACTCAATGAGCCTTTTATGATGGCTACCAGGGCAATCACATTTGTGCACTTGGAACTAATATTCCAATCACATCTCAATAAAAATCATTCTGTTCTGTGGACATCCTAACCATCATCAGGGCGTTCATGGCCAGCACTGACATTTACTGTTCAAGGCGACAGAACCAATGGGATGATCCACACCCTCTGGCAGACAGTTTATCAGCAATCTCAATGACTACTATTTACCACAATTTTCCAGGCAAATGACAACTTTTTTCCAGGCCCAAGGCTCTCTGAAACATTCCTGCTCCTCCCTTCTCCCTGGGAATGGATTCTAGTTCCTGATGCCAAGGAAAGGACACTGTGATCTGTGCAGAAATGGACCCCCTCCTCGCACCAGGTGTGTTTATCAAAAGTGTCACTTTAACAAGCGAAATCAATTGATTTGAGCCCCTGCTCAGGACTGCATGACCACATTATCCTTTGGCAGCATCAGTGAAGTCATCTTGTCAGAGGGGAGCGTGGAGACCCATCAGCCTCGGAGTGGCATGGAAGCCACTTAGAAGATGTACTGGGGAGGGGGTGTAAATTAGGAGCTTAGGATTAACATGTACATACTTCTACATATAAAATAGATAACCAGTGAGAACCTACTGCATGGTACAAGGAACCCTGCTAAATACTTTGTATTGGGTTGGCCAAAATATTAGTCCAGGCTTTTCCTTAAGATGTTACAGAAAAACCCAAATGAATATTTTGGACAAGCCAGTAACAATCTATAAGGAAGAACAACCTGAAAAAGTATGTGTGTGTGTGTGTGTGTGTGTGTGTGTGTGTGTATAAAATATACATGTATATATCTGAATCACTGTGCTGTACACTGAAACTAACACAACATTGTAAATCAGCCAGATTTACAATGTAATAAATAAATAAAATATGCACTGAGGACCCCAGCTCTGCTCTCCGAGAAATCAGATCTATGGCCTGTGGCCATGTTCATCTTCCTCTCGAGAAGGACCCAACGTCAGGGTCCAGACTGAGCTCGGAATGGCCCTCAGCCCCCTGCGGCAGCCAGCGCTCACCTTAGGTGTGGGCCTGAGAGGTGTAATTTATTCTCAGATAGTGCCCCCAAACACCTATGCAGATTTATACAGGGGGAAGGTGTGGGCTGGGGGGAGAGGCAGAGAAGTGCGATGGAAGAAACAGTAATGACTAATGAATGATGGTGGAGGGTCCAAGGGACTGTCGTTGCCACTGTTCAGTAAGTCAGAAATTACGTCAAATATATGTCTTTTTAAAAAAAAGAAAAAAAACTTAAAACCAGAGGCATCTTCCTAGGTTACCCTGAGATGCAAGTGCCCCCTCCTCCCAGAGACCGTTGCTCCAAGGAATATTGTTGGAATTTAAGATGTTTCCAAAGTCCTGTACAATTATCAACAATAACTGCTAAGTGACGGCCCTCTGGGGACGAGGTGAGGGGAAATTTCATTTACATTTCCATCCAGAAGGCTCCGATCATTCCTCTGGGCGGGGAACAGGTGGACAGGCTGAGCCCCCTTCCTGAAGACAGGTGACCCTAGAGCATATTTGTTGAGGACCTACTCTGTCAGGCGCTGACCTGAGGGCTTTAGAAGTATTCTCTAATCCAAGCCTCATCACCACCCCAGGAAGCACTTACTATGGGGACCCCCAATCACTCAATTTTACAGATGAAGAAACTGAGGCTAAGAGAAGTTAGATTAGCTGCCCAAGGTCATCTAGGAAGAAAGCCACAGGGTTTGAGCCCCATTTCAGTGGCCTGCAGTCTTTTTTTACGGTGCTTCTTTTTTTCCAATTTCAGAAAATATTTTATTTTTTAAATGCTTTTTTATTGTAGTAAAAGCCACATGCTATAAAATATACTATTTAACCATATTTACTGGAGAAGGAAATGGCAACCCACTCCAGTACTCTTGCCTGGAAAAATCCCATGGACAGAGGATCCTGGTAGGCTGCAGTCCATGGGGTCGCAAAGAGTCGGACACGACTGAGCGACTTCACTTTCACGTTCCTTTAACCATATTTAACTGCAGGCTCAGTGGCACTAAGTGCATTCACACAGTTGTGCAGCCCTCAGCATCATCATCTCCCCACTTTTTCTCCCTCTTAAACTCTGTCCCCGCTAGATACTAACTCCTCACGCCACTCCCATACCACCCCCACCCCTGGCCCCTGGCATCCACCAGTGTACTTTCTGACTCTATGAACTCAATGATTCTAGGTACCACATATAAGTGATATTTGTCTGCATCTAATGTATACTGGAGGGGCTTCCCATGTGGTGCAGTGGTAAAGAACTCGCCTGCCAATGGAGGAGACGCGGGTTTGATCCCTGGGTCAGGAAGATCCCCAGCAGAAGGAAATGGCAACCCACTCCAGTATTCTTGCCTGGAAAATCCCATGGACAGAGGAGCCTGGCGGGCTACAGTCCATGAGGTCGCAAAGAGTCGGACATGACTGAGCGACTGAGTGCATGTGACTGTGTATTGGAATGTTTTTAAGGTTCATTTAATACATGTCGTGTGGCCTACAGTCTTAACCACACTCGACGCTGCTTGTGGTCACGCCTCTCCCTTTGCAGGCTTGCACTAAGGCTTAGGGGAGCACCCACGGGGGCCTCCATCAACCTCAGGAACCATCTTGTGCAGTCACCTGAATGTCCCTTTGCTGATCTCCATCCTCCAAGTTGGTCTTCTTTGAATTGGTCTGATTCCTCAAGAACCAGTCTGAACTTGTTTGACTGACCCTGGTCTTGGAGATCACGTAACTGAATGAGTGCGATAGGGCGATAAGAAAGGCCTGGTAATTCCAGGTAATTCCAGGCCTTTCTGGTTAGAAAAATGACATTTCGGCTCAGAGGACTCCTGATTTGCCTCCCTGGCTCTCGCCCTACCAGCTCTCTTCTGGAACAGGCTGGCCTGTCCTTGGGGCTGTGCATTGGAAGATGGCGGGGGGACCGGTCCACCTGCGGTGCAATGCGGTGTCTACAGACAGCAGTGGGGAAAACAGAACGGATTCAGATCTGTGCTTGAGAAACTACAGACGTGGTTTACATAGATTAACTCACTGGCTCTTCAAAGAGTCTGTGAAGTAGCTTAACTATTTTGTTTTTGGCTGTGCCTTGCAACATGTGGGAATTTAGTTCCCAGACCAGGGATCTCAAACCTGTACCCCTTGCATTGGAAGCATGTAGTCCTAACCACTGGACCACTAGGGAAGTCCCAGCTTAACTATTATTAGCCCAGCTTATAGATAAGGAAAGTGAGACCTGAAGAGGCTGGGCTACATGCCACATGCAGCAGGGAGCAGCTAAGTGGCCGCTCTGGCTGGAGAACCCATTAATATGCCTAACAGTAAGTGGGATAAAGGAGAAATCTCAGATTCCCGGTTGGTTATGAACCTGTTACATGCAACTTTTTTTTTTTTTTCAAATTGAGCTCAGAATTCCAAGAACCAAGATACCTGCAACAGTCCCGTGCCTCATAATTTTATTATTTACAATGATGATAATGCTAAATGTATAAGAGATTTAACATTTACGTCTTTCCAGAGACACCTCAAAGAAAGAAAATTCTCAAATCAGAGGAAAAATGCTTTGGCAGAAAATGCATGTGGTGGGTTCTCTGGGTCAGCAGGGTCACTGTGACTATCCTGATCTTGACTGAGATGCTGTCCTCAGCTATTAGGGCTGAGGGATGCTGAAGTGGGGGCGTGGGCCTGGAGAATGTGTTCTCAAAGCTCCAATGAGCTCAACTTTGACAAGGTTGCCCGATTCTTCCCTTGCACATAGTCCTGGAAAATTCCACGCCTAACTTCTCAACCTTACATCTTGCATGAGACAGGAGAGGCTTCAGGTCCCCCCAGCAGTCCCCCTCTGTTCCGTCTTCCATGCCCCTCACCCCAGAGAAAAGCATGCAAACTAAAGCCATGCTACTCAGGCCCTTCACTGAACTATTTATTGACTTGTCTCCAAAGACAAATATTAATTAAGTCATACTGAAGGGTCCTAGCAGGGGGAAGTTAAGGGTTCTTGGACAACTCAAATATTGTGCAATTTATAATGGATAGATAGATATTAATAGAAGTAAATTATCCAGTGTTTACTGAGCACTTCTTATCTCTTGTCCCGGCTCTGGCTTCACACATGTGATTTCCATCACCCCTTAACTCAACATGAAGTGATATCATTTTACAGATAAGGTAACTGAGGCTCAGAGATTTGAAACAACTGACCCCAAGGTGAGCCAGGCAGGAAGTGGTGAGCTGGGCTTTGCCCTCGTCCTGTGCAGATGAGGAGGGAGAAAGTGGCCTGGAGCAGGGTCGTGGCGGGGGGACGGGGGAGGGTGNNNNGGGGGGAGGGTGGGGACAGGCTCAGAGGCCAGGGTTTCCTCTGGGATGGTCTCCCATGGGGGAGTTCCGGGAGGGCTAGGGGGGACTTGGTGTCTGCACTCACCTGCTGGCTTGCGCTGCTTGACACACTGCCCCCGGTTGGGGATGCCCGCGGCCAGGTCACCCGGGCTGAGGATGTGGCACTCGTAGCCTGAGGGGCAGAGGAGCGGCTCGGCCCCGTCCTCGGTGGTGCTGCAGGCCTCTGCTGCGGGGCGGGGGACACACGGGGGCTCAGGGGCGGCCCCGGCGGGGCAGAGGGGCTGCCTCTTGTCTGCAACCCAGATGCCAGGCTGCGCCTGGGGTCTCTGCGTGCACGCGTACACACACACACACGCACACGAGGGCAGCTCAAAGTCAAATGACCCCAAACACGCCCTCACACACATTATGACACATATAATGTATATTCACCTACACATCTTGAAACACACATGTTCACATTTACGGTCACACATATACATATGCTTACACACCAAAATCCCAATACACATATACAGTTGCACTACCCCACAAGTCCTAACACACATACACACATACATATAGCTGCACCCGTACGCACACGCACACAAACACATCCTGCACACACACACACATCTGTAGTCACACACACCTTCATGAACACAGCCGCACAAATACTCAGACACGCAGCCACAAGCACAGCCACTGGGCTCCACGAACAGCCGCACATCCTAATGGACACGGCGGTGCACGTGTGTGTGCAGAGCCGCGAAGCACAGCTGCACACAGCACGGTGCTCACTCACACCCACGGCCCTGCAGTGGTCCAGACCCCCGGCCTGCCTGTCCCTTTCAGAAACTGTCCTCCACCACCCCTGCCCCCAAGGAGGCCTCATGGGCAGGGAACAATGAACCCACATGGTGATTTTAAGGATCTGAAAACCCACCCGCCTCTGAATTCTCCACCCAGGAAGGAGGGCCCCAGTCCCAGGGACAGTCGAACCCTACGGTGTTCTGGAGATTCTGAGAGACTGGCCAAGCCCCAGTCATACCCTTCCATGGGGGTGGGGGCGGTTCAAGAGGGCTGGGTATTTGAGGACAAGCAGCCTCCTGGAGCAGAGGCTGCCCCGGTTTTCAGTTTTCTGGGGCAGCCTGAGAAGGGGGGACCCTGGCTGTGCCGTTGGGTTGGGCGTCACCCCACAGGTACCTTGCAACACCTCCTCAGGGCCATCCAGGAGCCAGCCGTTGCCCCCAAGCCATCGAGGTTTCGGCTGTACTAGCCAGTCTAAAACTGACAAGATAACGCATGGTTACGTCAGTGCCCTCTTCAGGCAGCCGAGAAGTGCCCCAGCCTCTGGGAATGGGGGAACTCACATCTCATGAAGAAACACTGACCCTCCCGAAGGAGAAACAAAACAACGTGGTTCTCCTGAAAAAATTCACCTCTTCCCTTTAGTAACAGATGTTTGAGTTTCAACTAGGCACTGGGTAGCCAAGCTGGAGACTACATTTCCCAGCAGCTCCTGTGGCTAGGTATGGCCCTGCAACCTGAGTTCTGGCCAATGGGATGTGAGCAGAGGTGATAATGCGGCTCTCTGTCTTGCCCTTGCATTGATGCCTGTCTGTCCCCTTCCCTCTCTTTCCTGCAACCTGCAGACTGGGGGCCACTTCGACCACATGGAGCAACAAGACAGAGGGAACCTCGGTCCCTGGGTGACTGTGGAGCAGAGCCACCTGCCTGCTGTGGACCATCTGTCAACTCGGGCCTTTCATCCAAGGGAGAAGGAAATATTTAATAGGCTGGGCCCCTTGGCTTATGGGTCTTTTAGTTACAGCCTAACGGCCTGTTCTCTAACCAATACATTTTTTAACAGGAAGAGTGACCAGGTAGTAGACTGGAAGGTCTTCAAACCCCCAAACAGGGGTTGAAAACCCCAATGTCTCTGGGGACAGAGAAGCAGAATAAGGGAGAAAGGCAGGCTGGGTAGGACCACAGCCAAGTGGAGACTGTTCTGCCTCAACGGCTCAGCAGTCGGTCAGCTCTGGCCAGCCACTCCCCGTGCTCTCAGAGCCTCTGGGCGGTGTGCTGCTTTAAATATTATTTATTTATTTGGCTTCATCGAGTCTTGGTTGCAGTACATGGGGCTTCCCTGCAGCACGCAGGCTCCAGAGTGCACAGGCTCGGTAGCTGGGATGCGTGGGCTTAGCTGCCTCATGGGGATCTTAGTTCCCCGAGCAGGATCAAAGCAACGTTTCCTGCATTGGAAGCTGGATTCTTAACCACTGAACCACTAGGGAAGTCCTTGGGTGGCCTTTTCTTTTTCTTAAACTTTTAAGTCTGTATTTTTTTTTTTAAAGATAAACTTGGTTTTAAATGTTGGCAATTAACTTTTTTTAAAACGTGCTTTGGAGATCAAATAAAACTGGTTTGGGATCACATTTGCTTTTGGCCTCTGCTTTGGTCTGACTCCAAAACACGACAAAATAAAGAGACTGATGTGCTGTCTGGTGCCTTAGAGAGCACGTGGATGGAAGCTGGTAAAATTGCTGGTTAGCTTTTTCTTTAAAAGAGTATGATGTAGTTATGAGATGGTTGCTCTTGGTGTAGAAATGGAAACAACAGACCAGACCAGCTGTTCACAACTTCCAGATGAGAGGGGTGACATGGTTCCAGATCTCTGTTTCCAGTCTTCTGTTTCTTCCCTCCTTTTCCCCATCACCTCAGGCTTAATGTTAGAAAATATATTTTCAATGCTACTTTCCACTAAACAGGAAATGTATTAACGCATCCTACATGGGGAAACATACACACTGAGCTGTGTGTGTGCTGTGTGCTCAGCCATGTCTGATTCTTTGCGACACCGTGGACTGGAGCCCGCCAAGCTCCTGTGTCCATGGGATTCTCCAGGCAAAAATACTGAAGTGGGTTGCCATTTTCCTGCTCCAGGGGATCTTCCCAACCCCAGGGATCAAACCCACATCTCCCGCCTTGCAGGTGAATTCTTTACAACTGAGTTGCCAGAGAAGCCCACACTTTGACATACTTTTTGGAATGCTGAAATTTGGTCAAGGCCTCCCATAAAAGTGCAGACCCTTAAGGCTTGGAAGCCCAGGGTCTTGCCTCTCTGCTCTCCAACTAGAACTTTCTGGGATCACCTACTAGATAAACTCCCTCCACCCAAGACGTTATCTCAGGGTCTGCTTTGGAGGGAAAGGGAACTTACAAGCAGATTGCAAGAAAGTGTGTAAGCTGCTTAGTCATGTTAGACAAGTGGTTCTCAATGTGGAGCGACTTTGCCCCTAGATGAAACATCTAGTAAAGTCCAGAGATTGTTTTTGGTTGTCCCAGTGTGTGTGTGGGAGGGCTACTACTTCCATCTAGTGGGGAGAGGCCAGGGTGCCACTCAACAGCCCATGAACACAATACCCAGGTCAGCCCGACTCCGCACCCCAAACCCAAAGGTCAAGAGTGCCAAGGGTGAGACAATGTATGCTAAACATTACTGTTATAACTCTTATTATGACTAATACTTCGCCGACTCTTCCTGCTGGCCAGTGAGAGCCAGGCTTTCACTGATTCGTCCACCCTTCACTGAGTAACTTTTACATGGTGGGGATATAGCAGTGAATGAAACAAATCAAACTTCCTGCCTCATAGGGCTGACCTTCAAGTAGGGGGAACAGTCAGGAGGCAAATGAAGCACAATATTCTAGACTGAGCTGTAAAGAAAGCTTAAGCCACAGGGCAGTAAGGAACCAGAGGAAGCCTCAAGGCCAGAGGAAAGATGACCGCAGAGATGGAAACTCCCCTGAGGAGTTTCCCCGGTGCTTCAGACGATAAAGATCCTGCAGTGCGGGAGATGGGGGTCAACCCCTGGGGCAGGAAGATCCCTTGGAGGATGGATGTTAACCCTATCCAATATTCTTGTCTGGAGATTTCTGTGGACAGAGGAGCCTGGCAGGCTACAGTCCATGATGCTGGGAAAGACTGAAGGCCGAAGGAGAAAAGGGTGGCAGAGGATGAGATGGTGGGACAGCATCATTTGTTCAGTGGACACGAATCTGGGCAAACTCCGGGAGATGGTGAAAGATAGTGAAACCTGGCGTGCTGCAGCCAATTGGGTCACAAGAATCGGACACAACTTAGCGACTGAACAACAACTCCCCTGAGAGAGTGACCACCTCTGGACTGAGACCTGAGAGGGCGAGGAAGTGAGCTATGTGGGTATCTGGGGGAAAGACTGGATTCCACAAATGGGCCCAGGGGCCCCACATTCCTACACTCAGAGCCTAAGGCAGTGGACACTTCTCCACAGTCAAAAGCCTAAACTGAAGCTCCAGTTCTGCCTGCTGGGTGACTTTGGGCAAGGTACTCAGCTTCTCTGAGTTCCAGTATCTTTAGCTATAAAACAGGGCTGATAATGGTCTCTCCACTCCAAGGGAGTGTGTGAGCATTAAATGAGATGGTGTAAGGAAAGGCTATTTGGAATGTCATGGACAGTTACTCGGTTTGTGCACTGCTCAAAAACACCTGTTCTAGGCAGCAAGTAAGGCTGGAGCTCCTATACCCTGCCTCAGCCCAAAGGAAGGGACATCTTTTAGACTTGTCCAACCAGACAGGCGTACTTTTATGTGCTTCCTCCACCAGGAGGGGTGTCATTTTGCCCTTCTTATAAAAGGCCCTGTAGGAGCCAGCCTGGCCAAGAGGCAGTGCTTACAGGCAGCACCGACTGTAATTATGAGCATTATTAAGGGTGCTGAGTCCCATGTCACCACTGTGACCTCACCCTGAATAAAACTGAGTGTGTTCATTTTTACCTTGGCTTTGGCAGGGTGGGGGGGCACTCACTAATGAAGGCCCACGGGAACCAGAGCCTCTGGCTGACAGTGCAGTCCGACCAGACTTCTGTGCTCCAAAGGCTCAGCCCCAAGCAGAACGGAGAGAAAAGCCCTGCCTACCCTCATCCTACCCACTCAGGGCATGTTTTCCCTACTCAGCGGAGACTCCTCCCTTCCCTCCCCATCCCCCCAGGCTCCCTTCCTACCCCTCCCTTCCCCAAGCTCTCCAGAAGGGATCTGAAATGCCTTCCCTCCAAAGGTGATGCCCTGAGAACTGTTTCTCCCAAGGAGATTCCTGTTAGGATTCAATGAACAGGTATTGATTCCCTGTTCCTAGCCCCACGTGGGGCTGAGCAAGCACTTCGGGGCCTGGCACTCTCCGGAAGCCGAGCGTTCTCATTCCTGCTTTACAGGTGGGGGCTTAAGGTGGTCCCCAGCTGGCCAGCAGACCTGAACTCAGGAGTCTGCATCCTCACCTGGATCGCTGAGGTGTCAGTCTCCATCTCAAATACCCCCAAGGCCAGGCCTCATGAGTGAACTGGGTGGTCCTGGTGGGGTCTCTGGAAAACTAGAGGGGTCCCCCTGCCATGCAGGAGCACCCGAGGCTGCAGCAGATGGTGGCCCAGGGAATGTGGGCCAGTATTTTTAAGAAAAGCTGTAAATCTGGATTTTTTAATGAGGAATCTCCCCCAGCTTCATAGGAGGAAACATTTTCCCTGGAATGGGCGTCCTCTGGACTGCAGTTCTCCGCCAGCAGAGGTGAGCCCCGCATACAGCAGGCACTTACTGAATGCAGCTGGATGCTTGCTCCAGGAGCGCTATGTTCCCATTTCCCAGGTGGCCCAGGTTTAAGCCCAGCTGTTCTGCAGTCAGGCAGTCCCAGGCAGGACAGTTCCCTCGTGGTGCCGGCCCCCCAACCCCGCCCCGCCCCCTGCCCCATCTCCCCCCTAGCCCACCCCGGCCTGGGTGAACCTACCTGGCGGGGGCGGCACGGCCTCCAGGCAGGCGTAAGCGCAGCCGTTGTAGCAGCAGCGCCGGTGTCGTGGGCACTCGGAGTCGGCCTGGCAGCGTGCAGCCTGGCAGGCACCAGGGGGCAGCGAGCGTGGGGGTGGCGGGCAGCGGTCTGCACGGGGCTGACGGGAGCCGCCTACCTCTTCGGCCTGTGGGGAGAAGGCGCGTCAGTGGGATGTGCTGGGTGCTGTGCGCCGTGGGTGAGTCGCTGGGCTTCTCTGAGCTGCTGCGTCCTGGCGTGGTCACAGCAGAAGCACCCTCGGAGGGCTGCTCTGACCGTGGAAAGATGCTGTTTCTCTTTGTAAGAGCCCCAGACTGTGAGGCTCACTGACAAACAATGGCCTCACTGATGGTGAGCCCAGTAGTAGCCAAAAGACGAATGAATCTGGAGAAGAATTGTATGTTAAGAAAGCATCTATCCTGATGTATTTATTTATGTATGGATATGGTGGCTCAGATGGTAAAGAGTCTGCCTGCGCTGTGGGAGGCCAGCATTCGATCCCTGGGTCAGGAAGATCCCCTGGAGAAGGAAATGGCACCCCACTCCAGTATTCTTGCCTGGAAAATCCCATGGATGGAGAAGCCTGGCAGGCTACAGTCCATGGGGTCACAAAGAGTCATATACGACTGAGCAACTTCACTTTTCACTACATATAAAAGGGTGTATACGTAAATATATATACACACATAGATATGTACACATGTATATTTCTATATATACATATATATATATCCAAGACAACTTGGATAAACCTCACAAACATAATACTGAGCCAAAAAAAAGAAAATCCCAATGTCACAATAGCACACATAGTGGCCCCATTGTGCTTCTTGATCTGGGTGCTGGCTCCATAGTACGTTTTCATGGAGCCAGCCTGACTCAGGATTTTCCCACTTTTTGGCACTATGTTTTCAGAAAAAGTGAATAATATGATATACTATTTAACATATAAGAAGTATGGGTGCATGACTAATAAAAGAAGCATTTTAGAGGTGGGACTGGGAGACCTGAAGTCGTACCAGGTGAGCCACTCTGGATCCCCGTGACACCAGACGCCATCTGTGCCGGGAGCTCTGTTCGGCTTCTGGATTTGAGGGTGGGGTGTTTGGAGGGCAGGTCTTACACATGCCTACACACATGTGCACACACGCATGCACACACACAGTTAAGGGACAGAGTAAGTCACTATGAAAAAAAAACACCCTGGGTTGCCCTGCCACCTGCTATTATCTGAACTACTCTTCCCACCTAAAACACTGTAACTACTGATCCTCCAATCCCCCAACACATATATATTTCAAAATTCTGCCCATTGTATGTCCAAGTAAATAATGTACTGCTGCAAACTGCAATAGCATGCCGCCACTAAAACCTGCTTATGAGAGACCCCCCAAGAGATGGTGATTTGTAAAGAAAGCTAAAGTGTAGAAGAGTTTGTATGCTCTTCACCTGTTAAAATGTATGTATGCACACACATGTAATATGCACATATTTATACAGGCCTAGAACATCTGTGGAATGATATACAAAAATACACAAGCAACTGTTGTCAAAGACTGCCTCTGAAGAGAAGAATTAGGTTCTGAAGTTGAGGGAGATTTTTCCTATTGTCAACACTTTTTTCTCCTTATTGCATGCTCTTTTCCATAGGTTTTATATATATATATTGCCATGAACCCACTGATGTTTTTCAATTAAAGACAATTAAAAAGTTTACAAAGTAGAAGTACTTAACAGGAAAAACTTTGTTAGTAAAATAAATAAACAAAAGGCAAGCTGCACAATGGCACATGCCCTCAAAGGTCAAGGCTGTCTGAACGTCTGTCCCCTGCAGCTACTGTGTGTTAGTCATTCAGTCGTGTCTGGCTTTTTGCAACCCCATGGGTTATAGCCCACCAGGCTTCTCTGTCCATGGGATTCTCCAGGCAAGAATACCGGAGTGTGTAGCCATTTCCTTCTCCAGGGAATCTTCCTGATCCAGGACCAGGAAACCATTTGTCTGCTGCATTTGTCAGCCACTAGGGTGGCTGCAAACCCCATGCACTGCTTCCAGTGCCCTGAAGGGGGCGTCGGATCACCAAGAATAGGTTCTGAATAGATGCATCTACCAACGGGTTGCAGGGGGCGGGGGGCGGGGGGGGAGCAGTCTCAAGGACCAGTGGTTCTCAAACTACTTCCCAGGGACCCCGAGAGGCTAAGACTGTGGGCCGGGAGGGGAAGGTAACAGTGACCAAGTGTGGTGGGGGGGACAGCCTGGGGAGGGTGGGGCGTTTGCCCCCTTCACCCAGAATTTAAAAAAAAAATAGTAGTTGATTTCCAGTATTATGTTAGCTTCAGGTATATGGCAAAGTGATTCAGTTATTTATGGCTGATTCAAATGATACATTGTTAAAAGATACAGAATGTAATTTCCTGTGCTATACAGTACACCCTTGTTTATCTGTTTTACATGGAGTACTTTGTATCCAGAGAATTCATCTTTTCCCCCTTATCTAAACCACTTTATCTGTGAACCGACCCCCCCCCCACCAAAAAAAAAAGGATACAAAGCCAACATCTGGCAGAAACAAGGCCCAAACAAACAAAAGAGGCAACCTTGTAACTTTCGGATCTTCCAGCTCTGGCTCAGCCTTTCTGCCACCCCCTGCTCAGCACCCACCCCACCCCTCAATCCCTGTATCCTCAGGAATAATTTCCAAGTTGCACGCAGGACACATCATCCCATGCTGTCAACTCCTAGTTCATTTTCTTCAGAATGAGCAACCCTGGACCCATGTTGGGGCCCTGCTGCTGGAATCCTAATCGGAGGTGACAGCTGCCCCGGCCTCCCTGGGAGGGCGAGCGGGGATGCTGAGTGTGGCTGGGAAGGGACTGCCGGCTTTTCTGCCCAGCCTGTTTTCACATCGAGCCTCATTTATGAAATTTAACAGAACCCAGAGATCAGACAGGACACGCTTTCCTCCACCTCCAATGCCTCCCAGGTGTGTGATTTCCTAAGGGCAGCCCCCAACGAGGCGGGGGTGGGGTGGGGGGGCACATGGAGACATCCAGTTTAGATGTGCCTGGGCTCTCTGAGGAAAACTCAGATGTCGCTTCTCAGAATTAGGAGAGAACAAAAGAGATAAGCGCCTTAGAAGTCAAATCACCCAAGTGATTTCTGGTGAGGCCTGAACAACAGATGGCCCTGGGTGATAAACAACCGATTTCACCAAAGGCACCCAGATTAAAGGATTAAATGTTTTGAAAAATATTTCATGTCAAGCAAGGTGATGCTCACAGAGGGTCCTAAACAAAGGATTAGGAAGAGAAGGAAGGGACTTTAATCAACGAAATAAATAGATTAACTTCTCAGCCTTCAGGGGGTTAAAGGTTAAAGGCCAGAGTCTGCGGGTCAGAGTCAGACCCCAGCTGGTCCCACGGCCCTGCCCCTTCACTTCTCTGGCCTCCCTCCTGTCCTCCCACCGCTGCCCTCTCGCTCATTCCTGGCTAGTGCCCTGGCCCCTCTGAGATCCCACCTCTGGGCCTTTGCACAAGATGCCTGCCTGGCTCTGGCCCCGACACGGTCCAGGTCTCAGCTCACACATGCCCTTAGCTGGTGATGCCCGTTCCCCGCTGCCTGCCTTACATAGCTCCAAACCGCCCATCACCCTTGGGAGGACACATTGATCCACTGTTGCGTCTTTTCTCCCCTACAACGTGCTCTCCTCGGGAACTCCGTCTTCTTCCCACCTGTGTCCCCAGCACCTCTGACCGTGCGTGGCGGAGAGCAGGTGCACCCTTCATCTTGTGGTTGACGGGAACTGTGATCATGAGGATGGAGGCGGTGTGACAGAGATGGACAACACCGAGTGGGAGCTTACCACGTGCCAAGCACCCTCCTGTGTGTCTAACCTGCACATCAAGCCTGCGTGGGTGGGGTCCCTTCATGTTTGTTTAATTTTGTACCTTTTCCCTGGCATCCACGTAGCCTCTAGTCATGTGAGTCCAGTGGGGGAAGGTCCCAGGTGCTCGGAGAATTAAAGGTTTGCCCAAGGCCACAGGCAGAAAAGGGTCGTGAGCCCAAATATTACATGCCTCCCTTCTGAAAATCAGAATAAAGCATCCAAAATATAAACCTGGGTTCAGCGGCCTCAGTGTCTGAAGGCTGCTAAGACCCCAAACCCCTCCTTGCCTTGGAGCTTCCTCTTCCTCTGGGGCAAGAACTTCAGAGCCGTGCCCCACATTCAAGTGTACCAAGGCAGACGGCGCCATGGCCGTGACCTCACAGTCAGGGATTTGAGCTCAGGCAGGCATGGGAGCCAGACGAGCCTGGCTGGGACGCCTGCAGCTGTGTCATCATACAGGAAAGTGACCTCTCCGAGCCTGTCTCCTCACCTACGACATGGGCCCAGAAGTAAGTGCCTGCCGCAGGGGTTTGCGGAGGGAGTGGGGAGAACAGTAATGCTGATCCCTTGGTTTTATTATTCCTTTGTGTCGGTCTTCCCTGCTTCCTTCCTCCCTCCTCCCTGCCCTCGATTCACACACACACACACGATGAAGCTCTAGGCACCATGCTGAGGCAGATGCACAAGAAACCTCTGAGCTGGTCCCTGCCTCCAAGGAGTTCAAGATCTGCTAGTAGCTGGGATCTGAAGATGCTTAAGCAAGAAACTCTCCTGCAGCAATGCCGTCATTTCTAAGGAGGATGGGGGCAGGGGCAGACTGGCAGAGTTCCTCCGAGGAAGGAGCCAGCCCAGCACTGCTCTCTGAGGGTCCCCTGAGGTGGCATCCATCGCCCCTCTGTGGTTACCTGTGTCCCCACCGCGGAGGTGAGAAAACTGAGACACATACACTATACCGAGAGCACCGGGCTCTGAACCTGGGCCAGTCTGCTTTCCTAATCACGGCAGAGCAGGTGGCCTTTATTAAGCTCCCACTGTGACCCAGCGCTGTGCTAGGTCAACAGGTACTGAACTTCACTGAATTCTCAGCACAGTCCTCTAAGGTCACGGTTATGACTCACCCACTTTACTGATGAGGAAACTGAGACCCAGAAACACTGAAGGTGCTCGCCCCAGGTCATGCAGCTGGCCAGCAGCAGAGGCAAGATTCAAACCTGGGTCTGACTCTGGCAAATTCCTGTCCCGGGAGCCTGGGTCTGGGGAGCTG